TTTTCCGGGCATGCAACAACACCTACCAGCAAATCGGAGGGGCTGGGATTGGATCCCAGCTCTCTCCAGCCCTTTGCAACGTTGCCATTACACTCATCGAACATTCTTGGCACCAGATCCACAACAATTTGCTCCAGCACACTGACTTACATTTCACATACTACCGCTACGTTGACAACCGCTTTATTGTCCACAATGAGCATTTCCTTGAACATCCAGCCATTCAAACCCTCATTCACCACAACTTCTTCGGCGACCCAGTCGAACTGGAACCCGTGGACGACTTTCATCTCCTGGGTTTCAACATTGATCTCCCGCAACGTACCATCACCTACACGCAACCCTCCCAACCCTGGAAAATCAGGGATCCAACCACCGCCGGGGGCGGGCGCTTGGCTCTATCAGGCCTCCAATCGCGCAAGCAGGGGGCACAGGCCCATCGTGGATACCTGCGCCAACGAAGCTGTTCCACGATGGGGGATGCGGAGATTGATCACCTCCGTGTACCTGCTGAACTTTTGTGCAAGCTGTCTAATTTGATCGGTTTGTTTCCATGGTCTTTCATGTTTCCTTCCCCAAACCTCGCGGAGTTTTTTTGCAGCTTAGCTTTGCAGCCGACTCGCAGCGCACCGCTTGTTTCTGCAGACTTGAGAAACAATTTTGTTGAAACACCTACAAGTTCTCGGACTTTTCGCCATACTGTTCCACCGCCATCCTTCCCATCGGAGGAATTGATTAACTGAATACAAGTGTCAGAGTGTGTGTCAACCCCTGTTCCAAAGGGCGCTACCTGTCATTTCTCAACTCGATAAGCAGGGGGCCAGCGGCCGACAAGCAAACGCTGGCTAACAAAGCTATGCTTGTCGGTGGATGCACAGTCTGATCAACTCTGTGTACCTGCGATCAACGTTTGCACAAGCTGTCCAATCCGCTCGGTTTGATTCATGGTGGTTACATGTTTTCGAGGCCACTTGTGAACATTTTTAAACAACACTGTTTTGCTGACTCATGCACCTTTCCGTTCCATCGCCTTCCTTCTCATCGTGGGAATTGAGTTAACAGCAAACCAATGTCAGAGTGTGAATCGCTCAGCCGTCCCACTTGGGTGCTGGGTGTGATCCTCCGCAAGGAGGCGCTGTCATCATTCCGGAAATCGTGTAACTGCTTTCTTTCTGGAAATCTCACCAACTAGAATCCACGTGAATGTTCTCATCAACCCTGAATTACTGCCTTTAGAGCCGCCGGGCTTTCACGGATACGACAGCCGCCGGGCTTAAAAACGGAATTCACCCCATTTGAGGCAGGTTTCCCAACCCCCCCCCCCACCGTGTTCTACTCCCTACCTAATTAGGGTAACACAGGGAAATGGTACTCGACACACTTGTGTGTCGGTGCCTTTCCCTCTGTTGTCCCTTTCTAGTCTACTCTACCCGGGCGGTTTAAGACTAAAGTCCCGCTCCCTAACTATTGCACTGTAATTCGTTTCTGCTAAGTAGTCAGTAACCCTAGAGTGCTAAGTATTCAGACACACACACGTACACACACATGGACATACACCCCCTCCCTGCCCCCCCCCCTTTCCTTCCTGCGCTTTTTGTCGTTTGTTGGGCTTTCTCTCAGGCTTTTTAGGTTGTTCTTGAGGCTCGTTTCCCTACCCCAGTCAAGGGCTAAGTATTCATTTTTCATTTTTTCTACGCCTATCTTTCTCTCTTGCCCTCTTAGCGCTGCTCTTTCTGTGTTTCTTTCTTTTGTTTCTAAGGCTTATTAGGTATCTATTCAGGCTTTCCACGCACGCGCCGCCAAGCGGCACCGTGTGTATGTCAACCCCTGTTCCAAAGGGTGCTACCTGTCATTTCTCAACTCGATAAGCAGGGGGCCAGCGGCCGACAAGCAAACGCTGGCTAACAAAGCTATGCCTGTCGGTGGATGCACAGTCTGATCAACTGTGTGTACCTGCGATCAACGTTTGCACAAGCTGTCCAATCCGCTCGGCTTGATTCATGGTGGTTTGTTTTCCTCCCATAAAGTAACCCTTTCCCTGCAGCTGAGCTCGTCACCGCATCGATTGTACAGATCGACTTCGAGGCCACTTGTGAACATTTTTAAACAATACTGTTTTGCTGACTCATGCACCTTTCCGTTCCATCGCCTTCCTTCTCATCGTGGGAATTGAGTTAACAGCAAACCAATGTCAGAGTGTGTGTGCCCCTTGTAGTCACCGGGATCCGTTTGGATTGTACTTTTGACTCCGTTTTCCTTTTCATGTTTAAGCAGGGGGATGCCCCACACCTGAAGAGAGGGCATCTAACAAAGAGGCTCTTCAGGTTGTGCTGATATCAGCAAGGACGCTTGCTGACGTACCTGCATCAACTTTTAAAGTTTTTTCGGCAGACATGCACGCTACGCCGTCACCCTGTCGCTTCGACCCCGACTTGCTCTTTTGGCCCCACTTCCTTTTGAAGACCTCCAGGATCCGTTGGTTCTCACTTGTACTCTTAGGAAATGGTAACCTAGGCTGGCGTGTGGCACCGCTTTCAGTTCAGTACACCCTATCCTAAGTGTGTGTTTCTGTGTAAACGTTTGAGTTTGTGGTGCTGCCAGCTTGTTCGAGGAAGTCGTCGGCATTCGTTTGATTGATTTGTTGGCAGCAAGACATCTCAAGCGCCAAATGCGGTACCTTCTTCGTAGGACACAAGCGATGCATGGTTGTGTGAGCGGGTGAGTGCCTGGTTGTCGGAAGGTCCACAAAGTTGTGGTCCAACAGAGACATTCATTGCAATCCTTTCAGCATATTTCCGCTGTTGTGATGAGTCGGCTGGACTAGGACGATGTATAGCGTCGGCTGGAGTATGTGAAGTGATTGTAATGAAACAGGAACTCGTGTGTTGCGTATTTGTCTAACATGAAAGCGAGTGAGACAGGGTGAAACAGCTGGATCAACAGGTGTGTAAACAGAAAAGGATTGCCAAAACACCATCTCTGCCAAACTCCCATCGGTCCTGGAAGATATTCTGAGACCAGCATCCCATCACCTTGCTCCGTTCGAAAAGTGCCGAATGAATGGCAAATGCCTGGAAGTTGCTCTGGTCCAGGCATACCGAAGCGCGTCCTTTGCAAGGCAAACAAACAATATCAACTGGCCAAAACAAACCCAAAGGTTGACGATGAACAAACGATACTGATGAAACTCTCTAAATATTGCGCTGAATTATTCAATTACTAGAGTCTATGATTCTATGATCTCTATTGATCTTTCTGGTTGGCACCTTGTCCCTGCAATTACTCTATGAAAATGCCCTCGGCGCTTGAGCAAGTATTCATGCACCAATGGCCGCTGGAATCATTGTTGTAGATTTGGCACCCTGGTTGTCACAAGCAGGGCAGTGTTGGAAAGGCAAACAAGCTGGCACAAGCTGCTGCACCGCACGTCACCGTCCGAGTGTCGACTGTCGACAACTGTAGTGGATCGACTGGGTGACGACCGAATGTGAATCCGACAGTCGGACCATTCCGGGTCCCCCGAGAACACCAAAAGATACCAAAAGCAGTTGGAGTCTGCACGCACCAGAGTCACCAAAGCAGTTCTTCAATCAGTATTGACTCACCAAAGACTGACTCAGATTGTTCGAAAAGAGATTTACGTATAAATCATGGCACTGTCACTCATCTTTTCTCTGACTTCATCCAGGTGTCATGATCTCAATCTCCTTCCATGGGTTCTCCACTTCACCTGCCAGAATTAAACTCCAGCCATGTTGCTGAATTTGCTTTTGAACATGTTTGGATGATGTTCCATTTGGAGCATGGTGCGCCACGGCTGGCCACCTTGGGTGTTTAGCCCCCCCACCTGGCCATGCTTCTTGGTAGGCCTGCGGGCTGTCACGCAAGCGGCTCCGTGGGAGATGCTTCACCGCCACCATCCCTGCGGTCATCAGGTCCACGTACAACTCCACTTGGCCACCGCTGCGTGCAGCCATCATGAGCACCTTCCAAAATCTGAAGCGCTGCGCATTCCTCGGTGCTTTTGGTTTCGTGTTTTTTTTCTCCAAAAGGTGCAACTGACAAAAGGTGCCAAAAAGTCAAGAAACAAAGGCGTAGGATCAAGATGCTCTAGAATGTGAAAAGTTGAGTGGCCTCATGATGTTCATCGGTTTTCACACCTTTCTTTGGACAAGGCACCATGGTGGAAGATAGGGCCCGCCAGGGCCGCCAGGATCTAACTCTTCAAGTGAAGGCACCTGCGACGGCGTAGGGCTCGACACCAGCGACTCCTGGCGGTACCTTGACTCAAAGTCCTCTTCAGAATCGGGCCACGGGACATGAGGCTCTTCCCGTGCGCCCTCCGAAACCTGCACCGTCAGACGGGCTGCGAAATGGACGGATTTGTTGAAAGCACCATGAAGAGCGCCCGTCAGACGGGCTGCATGCGCCTAAAAACATCCATGTATTCAGTATCCGAAGAAACGATCAAATCCTTGGAGCAGCAGCTCTTTTTGTTTAGCCTTTTTCATGTGTTTTCTGCTCCCTATCCAACGAGATCTAATCCTCTTTGACCATTCTGATGCCTCTGAACTGGCCACTGAGGCATCATCTGAAGGAATCCGCAATTGAATCCAAGGCCAGGATCTCTCCAATACGGCTTCTGTGATGCAGCCTCCGCACTTCCCCATGTCCTCCACGGACAAGTTCTTGGGCATGGCCTACACAGCCAATCGATGCGAAGGATCGGCAGTCGGCCAGCCCAATAAGAAACGGGGCTGGCCACGACTGGCGAATTTTGAACGTTTTTGAGCCAGAAACGACTACAGCGAATCCACTGCACCAAGAAGATTGCACCCACGTCTTGAATCTTCTGAAAGTCATGGTGTGCAGTCATCTCAAAACAACCAGTCTCCCTTAGGTGTCAAAGCAAGAAACAGAGATCCAAGACAGCGAAGAGAAGTTGCTTAACATGAACTGAAGGGAACAAAGGCACAAAGTTTCTCAGCTGAGCATGTGGCTAGAACCATTGAAGCGAGGGCTAGTGTTACGCAAATCAGCTTGATGAGTCCATGCCTCATCGAAAGGCACCAGTGTGCTTGAAAACGGATGAAATAGAAGGCTGCAGTTTTCATGCTGCAGGCAGCTCACCGTGGCTTAACTTACATGAATTCGACTTATTTATATTAATATATACATATACATATATATATACATGACATCAGCCTTTCCGCAACCCAGTCACCTCAAGCAGCTGAAGATCGGATTCGCCTGGAGAGCTGAAGTCCCATGCTGTCTGGATGATTGAATCAGTTGAACCAATTGAAAATCAAATCTAATCAAGATTCAGATAGACTTGAACCTTGGGGCCTTGTCCATTCTGACATCAAAGCATGGTTAGAAGGCATGCCTTCCTGTTCAAACATACATTTTTAGGGTGTATGCATTAAATCATTAAATGTTAGGAAATCCTAAGACATATATAATGTAAATAACAATGGGAGTTCTGTCTTCTTGGATGTATCGTATGGTTTGCCCGAGGAAAACTCAACATCACAGTTTGTATGAAACACCCGTGTATAAAATATACAAATAAGGTTGCTTCTGAAAAAAAAAAAATCATATTATTATATACCGTCCCCATTCTATCAAATGCGAAGCTGAAGTTGGGTGTGAACGACACCATCCATGGATTAAGTTCAATCCTGTTCCAGCTTTGTTCTTCCCTTAGACTGAAACCTCCCCAAAGATGCACTTTGACTACGGCGTCTGCCTTTCCAACCCAATCCGTCCTGTTCCTCGATGTTGCTTGTGATGAGCGACCGCTTCAGGCTACCAAAAAACTGCCGCCTCCGTGAGAGGATCTTGCTCCAAGATTTCAGGAACTGATCTTCAAGAGTCTTGCATCTTGCTAAGCACCAAGTGCGAAGGAGGAGTTGGATCATGTCAGGGCAGCCACCTTTGGGCAAGAAAAGGTCAAGTTTATAGAACGTCTTGTAGATGGTATTCAAAACTTGGAAGCCGTTTCGATCCACATCTATCGCTTCGTCTGCAGGTCACATCAAAACCGCACATCGTCCACTGGCGAACTTTCGTGTTACTGGCGATCTCTTGCAGGAACGATCCAACCACCCAGGCTATAATTAAATCGGTGAATGAGGAAGGATTAATCATCATATCATCTAAATTCATGTTTTCTATCGTTCTAGACCCACTCGGAGCCGCAGACGCTCCTGAAAAAAACAGGCCTCTGACTCGAGTTTTTTTCCATGTCCATCCCGTTGCCTTGTGCTGCCAAAGGGTCTGCTGACTGACTCAGCGGGCCTGACAGAGACTGTCTGGTTCAGTTCTTCGGGAAGGCAGGACGACTTGGTAGATGGACTTGGTAGATCAAAAGCCAAGTCTTTCGTTATGATGGGTTTGTGATGAGAATCGGCAGGATTCAGGTATCTGCTCAGTAAATAGGATGGAATCGGATTATTGAACCAAAAGCAAATACAGATACTAGATGATACTAGTACATCGGGCGGTATTTTTTAACCGCGTTGTACAAACTGTTGGCAGGATCCGTCCCGATCCGGCCTCTATTCCGATCGCGCGTACGAAACTCAATGGCTCCACCTGCCTCTGCTCCGAAAATGTTACTAGTAGCTTCTAGCTACTAGTAGTGGCCTCCAACCTACTAGCGATGGCCTCCAACCTAGAAGCAATGGCCTCCTGCGTAGTAGCTTCTTGGTACTAGTAGCTTCTTGCTAAGAATAGAACACAACAAAGAAAAAGGAAAAACGGTCGTCTGGCGGAGCATCTCAGTAAAATTCCGGACACCAACTGTCGCCCCGACCGCACGGGTCTAGAATCCCACCAAACCCAAAATTTATCCCAAAGCCTACCCAGCCAGGTGCTACAGTATCCTTCACCTGCTGGGCCACCCCATCAGAATCCATGTGTTCTTTTGTGGGACTTCACCGAAACAGCTCTGCAAGTGTCACCTGATAAATCCGCTGCCACAGCAAATATCGAAGCTTCCATCGGAGCCTGGCCATGGTGGTTTTTGTGTTGTAGTATCAAGCTAGTAGTAAACAAAGGCAAAGGGCGCAAGGACGCCAGGACGGGCTCAAAGAAACTTACAGTAATCCCGCCCTTAGCTTGCTTGAAGATCTTCAAGAACCCTCGCATGGTAGAAATTGATATTCACACGATGTAAGATTGTTAGGGGAAGTCAAGCATACAGGTCACGAGAAGTAATTTCAATGAATTTCAATATTGGGTCGCGGGTCAAAACATAATGGCAGTTTCGGGATGAAGACATTAGATATTCTTTCCAAGCTAGTTCTGTGTTCACTAGGGGCACCCGTCAACCAGTAACTAGCAGCCACCTTCAGAAACCTTCATCGGTTGTGGAGACCAGGACCAGCTAGTAGCGTCCTAGCTCCTAGTAGCGATGCCCTTTGCTCCTAGTAGCTTCTTGTTCCTAGTAGTATGGCCAGGAGCCCCAAGTAGCGCCCTGGTCTGCTGTGATAACCCATTTATGCAAAGAATGCCACACAGCCCACAGCAGAAACAGCATCACAACCGCTTGCGACCTGGCACATCTCCACGAGACAGCAGCAACCGCTTGCGGCAAAGCTTCCAAGCCTGGCTAAGCTATGTGTCAGCGTCGAGCTATGTAAGGCGGACCAACGAATCAATCAATCAATCAATCAATCAATCAATCAATCCATCCATCCATCCATCCATCCATCCATCCATCCATCCATCCATCCATCCATCCATCCATCCAT